ATTAAATGTTAGTCTTAGGAAACTTTAAGGAAAGTGCATGGAAATTTCATGAAAGATTTAGGAAATTAGTTCAAAATTTCATGGAAAGTATATGGAAGTCAAGAAAATTTTTTTTATGGAAATTGTATATTAGGAAAATAAATATTGACTTAGGAAGTTCCACTTTTTTTTTTTTTTTTTTTATGAAATAGGGGCGGTACCACGATAATTTATTAATAAGAAAAAGTTCAAGAAATATAAGGAGGGGACAATCGAGCCTAACCCAACAAACTAGGGGGACAAAGAAAGCTTAACCCTTAAAGTTTAGCCGACATCCTATAATTATACAATCCCATCTTGTCATGCCTACGAACATGTTTTACCTCTAAAGGTAAATAAGATAAAGACCTATACTCATTCATATTCTCATGCCTAATGGCATAATTAGCTAAGCTATCCACTACCATATTTTGCTCCCTTTAGATATGCTTAACTATACTATCATTTAACGACTTTTGAAAATGATGAAAGGCATAAGAATACACCCAAGGAACCTTATTGAGACCTAGGATTATGTTAACAACCATCGGCAAATCAGATTCAACTACAACCAATTGTATACCTAACTTTTTAAATAACAATAAACGCTCATGAAAAGTAAAGACTTTAGCCTTTGAGTTCGACCCTTTACCATAAAAGTTTACAAACCCGATAACAAAGACTCCCACATCATTTTGAAGTACAACACCTCTCGCACATAAACCATCCCTAGCTAACCCATCTACATTTAACCGAAGTTTTCCCATTGGAGGAGGTTCCCATTTTAGGCATTTACCTCTTAAGAACTTCGGTACGCACTACATCAATACCAAATATCTATACTTTACTCAAGGAAACCACATTCATAGGTTCTTTGGGAATATATAGCATACACATATCTTGTAGAGCAATACGTATTCTTCGAATAATATTCATAGCTCGCATTAACTTATCCTTATACTTAGCCTTGCATTTACATTTCCATATTTTCCACAACACAAAATAGAAAGTACCAATTCGAGGCATACACGTCCGAGTTGACATAGATGTAAACCAAGCTTTTGCAAACTCCACCAAATTCAAGAAGTTCCTTAACCTAAAGATATTGCTGAAATGGGTCCAAACCTCACTAGCAATGTTAGACTCTAAAAATAGATGATCCGTGGTCTCCTCCCGATGATCTTGATAGTAATGACATATAGAGACTAACGGAATACATAGGTTCTTAATTTTGGAATCTATTGATAATGCCCCTCTAGACCACTTTCAAATGAAAACAACCACCTTTGTTAGAATTTAGGAATTTCAAATTCTTATAGCCCATGGCCACACTAGATAAAAGGTGTGACAATGATTTCAAAAAGCTTTAGTTTCAAACTCACCCGATTTAGTTAGAGTACATATCGATCTATCATCAATTATCTCATCACATAGAATATGTATTACCTCATCGTGGTATGCATCGGAGATATATCGTATGAACTCATTCAAATCCTACAACACTTTTTGCATAGTTAGTCTCTCATTTAGAGGGCAAGGTCCATCCAAAACAACACCACAATAGTTCACAATCCAAAAAGGGATGACACCCTTTCTTATTATCCACTAACTCACGAGCTTAAACCATTAACAATTGGGATACTATAGCCTTCCATATATGTGAAGATGTACCGTATTACTACCTCTATCCCTATATTTAGTTTGCAAAAATCAAGCCTATAAGCTTGAACCCCGAATGAAGGACCAAACTAGTTTAGCCTGCAAAGATGACATTACCTACCCCAAATCTCTAAGCCCCAACCCCCTTCTTCTTCGACCTACAAAAATGATTCCACCCTATCCAATGATGTTTGTTATCTTCGGAAGAACTTCATAAAAAATTAAAGGACCATTTGCCTCTCAATCTGCTTAAAGTTCCATTTGGCATATGAATTGTCGCCATGACATATATAGGAATACCGGTAATTACTACCTAAAGTAACGTCACTCGTGCCCCAAAAGATAACAACTTTTTCTTCCAACCTCCTAGCTTATGTTTAATTTTCATCTCAAAGGAAGAAAATAAAGTTGACGCATTTTCCTAGTAAATAGGGGCACTTCTAAGCAATGCATTGGAAATTGAAAATGGGCAACTACTTAATGCCTCGCTATTCATTGAGCTATCATCTTCTTAGGAATGTAAAACCCACCCTTAGCCACATTAAGGATTTTTCCCGAGTATTCTTCGTAACATGTAACCAAACTCCTTAAACTCATCAAGCATCCCCATGATCCGTTAGTATAAAGGAGCATGTCATTTGCATAAAACAAGTGATAAATCAACAAAAAACCCCTACCCAAACAATATGATCGAATATTTCCCTCTACTATATATTTCTTATTATTAAAAGATAAAATTTGCTGAGCTAAAATAAAAACTAGTAGAGACAACGGATCCCCTTACCCTAGTCCTCTGCTAGACTTAACGAACCTAAAGTTTTTTCTTATACCACATATTGCTTATGCATCTATATACCAAATCATATCATCATTCATTAAATTCCATCTCTCGTATTACCTTTAGTAAAAATGATCACTTTATCCGATCATAAGCTTTTGACATATCTAATTTAAAAATTAGATTACCATTATGGATTTTTCTATTCAAACCCGAAACCAATTCTTGTGCTAGGGCCACATTTTTAGTTATATTGTGCCCTTTAACAAACCTAGCTTATTCTTGATCAATCAAACTTGGCAACACAAGATTCAATTTATGAGCTAAAATTTTTGAGATTATCTTACAACTCGAAATTTGACAAGCTAATAGGATGCAAATCACCCAAATAACACAAACAATCCACCTTAGGAACCAATAATAGAATAGTAGAAGACATATTTCCGGAAGATTCCCACCTTTGAAACAATCCTAAATAGCCACTACAACATCTAACTGAATCACCTCTTAGTAACTCTTGTAAAAATGCCCTACATCCCATCTTGGTGCACTAGAGGAATTTAAACACTCAATAGCACCTAAAATCTCTCGCCTCTCCGAGAACTATTGTTAGTTGAGCATTCATGTTAGCTATGATAGACATGCCAATTCCTACAAATAAAGAATCATGCCCGATCGTATGTCCAGTCGTGAACAAATCCCAAAAGAAATTAATTACCTCAACCCATATGTCCGTCACATCTTTCATAACCAAACCATCCTATCTCTATAAACTAAATGTTAAACGATGTAAATTTTCTTTAATACATGCATGAAAGAATGTTGTATTTCTATCCCCTTTCGTAACCCACTTAACTCTAGCCTTTTGTCTCAATATGTCTTCATCCCACCGAATAAGTTATGCTAGCTCGATCTTTCTAAGGTGTAGTAGTTGATTGATTACTCCACCCTTGACTTAAGTTCGAATCTAGCCAAACTATATCATCCCGTAAAACCTCTATTTTTCTGTTTACATTCCTAAAAACCTCCTAATTCCACACCTTAAGCCTACTTTTGAGGTATTTTAACTTTTGATGTAGCACTTCCATAGGAGACCACTAACTCTAACTCGCCCAAATGTGCCTCACAAATCCCATAAAATCATTGTGCTCAAGCCATATCTCGCTAAAACCGAAACATCATTATACCCGTCATTGTATTCTCAATCCGAATTAACATAAGACTATGATCCAAAGCTATGTGAGCAAGGAACTGAATGTTTAAATTAGGTCTATCGGCTAGGAAGGACCCGTTTCCTAACACTCTATCCAAGCTCTCCTATATTCTCGCCCGACCTGATTGATTATTACACTAAGTACATTTAGACCCCCGATATCCTAGATCATCCATACCAATTCGATCACAACACCCGGTAAATTCTAACATGCCATGTATATCACACTCATTCCCTCCAATCTTCTCATCTATGTACACTATGATATTAAAGTCTCCATCCATAATCCATCTATCCCGATTAGCAAGGTTCAATCTATCCAATTTAGTCCATAACTCCTATCGCTCCCTCTACTACAACTACCATATATTATCGATAATCTTAAAACACCAATCTATGGTCCCGACATTTTGACCCTAACTATCTCGCTTATACATTGCCTCACAAGTCATTATAAACTTCTCATCCCAAAACATGCAAATATGCTTGTTTATTGAATTAAACTACATATAGCACTTACATTTAATAGCCTTCGCTATATCATGTACTCTATCCCCTCCTAGTTTAGGATCAATAATAGCTAAAAATTTTAGCTTATGCTGTTTTCTCAATAATTTAACATAGTTAACATAGTTAATAGTTTATTTATTTTTTATTTTCCTCACATTCCATATCAATTCGGACATAATTAATGAGGTTGAGGGAGGTTATCTAATGCTTTATAAGTTAATCTTATCTTTTTTTCATAATCGCCTAATTGTAACTTCTAGTTCCCGACTAATTTCGAAAGTTTTTAAATGTCTTTTTTACTATCCTCACTCCATCATGTCAAATTTCTAGATTTCCTAAAGATGATCATTGACAATTTTATGACTTCTACTCTCTTTCCCCTCTAAAATGGATCCTTTCCACATATGACACTCTTTAATTTCAACTCCATCAACTAAACAACCACTATTAATTCCACTATCACCTTGCATATGTATGCTAGGATTTTACCAAAAAAGCTCATTTGTCCAACAAACTTCCTACCTTATTTGGCTCACAAAACATATCCGCCTCTTTACTATTTTTCCCCAATGAAGCCTTTTTCTCTAGTTGCTTAGAAATACTACGCCGATCTTTTTTTTTTTTTTGTAGCCATTAAAACTTACCACATATACAGTACCAGTTGCATTAGCCTTCTTTATGTTTACCATTTTTGCTAAGTCTATGCCCGGTAACCACCCCTTTTTCATCACCATAAGCTCCTATTTCTCTCCAATATATCCAAGCTAGCAAAGGAATTACTCGTCCATGAGAATAGACATATCATCCATTAATTGTATACTGCTATCGTTTCTCAAAATCAAACTCGTCCATGCATGAAATTTGCCCAACTATAACACGAGCCTTTGCATGCTCTTGTTGCTCATCCTTCACACATCCCTCCTTTACATTGCTCACGTATACTTTAGCATTCTTTGTGTTTGCCTTTTTTGCCAAGTCCGCACTAGATAATCGCACCTTTGTCAATACCATAAGCCCATTTTTCTCCTTCAAAATATCCTGGCTAAGAAAAGAATTATTGTCCATGGGAACGGACACATCATCCATTAATTGTATACTAACACTATTTCTCAAAACCAAACTATCCATGCATGAAATCTACCTAGCTACATCACATGCCTTCTCCTATTGCTCATCATCCCCACATCCCTCCTTTATATTATTTACATGTTTTACATTAAAATCGACTCCCTTACTCCCGATGTCATTCCTTATTTTCATACCATCACTATTTTGCCTAACCTTTCCAGCGTTACTAAAAACATACGATACATAAAGCTTTGTATCTTGTGATCTTCTTTAGACAAGGCATCGATTAAAGCCTCTTCAATTTCTAACCTTACCATGACATGCCTTGGATCAAGGAGGCCTATAACTAGTTCACTTGTTAAACTCCATATCTTCTATATATGAATATGAATATCTTTTATTGCTGGCCTTTCTCTTGAGAATTTGAGAATCAAAGTGTTACTAAATTATGCAGTTGCAATCTCTAACTAAAACAGTGAGAATATGCGAGTCTGGTTATGAATTGACATAAGATGTTTTCCTTGGTGCTAAATGGATGGCTTTGAGGGGATAATTCTTTGGCGTTTTAGGATTAGTAGTTATGCACTCGCATTTGTGTCACTACCTTAGCATATGTCAATGTGGGTATGGGTTGTAGTTGCTTCATTTCGTTCTAACTGGAGTGCACTTTAGCTTGAGCTTGAATGGTAGAGACGTCTCCATTGTTATTTGTTACAACAGACTGCTGTTTTTTCATACCGACATTATTTTGTTGCTGACTTGTAAAACCTATTTTACTTAATGGGAAACTCCACTATGGAATCATTAGAGGTTGTCTCCTTACTAGTCGAGACTCCATAGGCTATCCATTAGAATCAAGGGTAATGACGGACCTTTTTCCATTAGTTTTTGGACCGGTAGAATTCTAGTTTTTAGTGGCTATGTCCTTCTATTTTATAGGTACGGAGATGGACATATTAGATGAAAGTCTCTAGCATGAAGTCCTTGGATGTCACCTCGCCGGTGGTCGAGACTTCATGGCCAGCCGAGGGTCTTCTTCTTCTCAATCGTCATTGATTTTGCTAAGTTTTGCAATTTTTTCAAAGTAAAAAACTAGAACCCAAAAGAAAGAAGCAAAAATATCAAGAAGTTACAAGGAAATTTCATAGAATTACTTAGGAAATTTCATGGAAGTTACAAGTGTGAACTTAGGAAGTTTTCATGAAACTACCTAGAATTAATTATGTGAATGAATGAAAGATGATTATCTAAATAACCATTTAAGTGCCAAAAATTCCATCAATTCACTTCGATTAATTCAAACAAGACAATGAAAAAGGGGAGAAAAATATCAAAACTAATTGAATAATATTTAGAACTTAGCTTAAATAATTTATGTGTGTGAAAAATTTAGTAAGCTTCCTTACACCAATATATTCAATTAAGTAAGAGAGAAATAAGGAATGAAAACTCAAGTCTAATCTTGAGAAATAGCAAGTAACAAATCTAGAAGAAATTAACAAGTTAAGAACAGAAAAATAGCTATACATGTGGTCTAATTATGTGGAAAAGTCTAAAGTTCCTAAACCACTCTATCCGATAAAAAAGAAGAGAGAAAGAGAAGAAATTTCTAGCTTCCATTCAGCCAAAAGAAAGAAAAAAAGAGGAGAAATTTATAGTCCTCTTAAGTCAGCAAAATAAGTATAGAAAAAGGAAAAATGAACTATACCAAGTTCAATAAAAAAAGAAAAAGAAAATCAATGAAGCTCAACAACAAAATTACAAGAACAAAAACTCGATTCGAGTAAGAGGAGAAGAGTGACTAAAAGTGGGAGGAAAAGAAGAGAAAGAAGAGAGACAAAAAGAGGGAGAGTTCTAGGCCTTCAATCCTAGGGTTATAACTTTAAAAACCTTAAGAAAATGAGGAAACAAGGAAGAAAACTAATTTGGTAGGCATACCAAATCTGGACGACTTGGACGAAAGTGAAAGGAGAGAAAGAAGATAGGAAACTTGAATAGCTTGAGCCAAAAATTTGCAAGGAAGAAAGTGGGGATTTTGGTGAGCAATTTAAGTGGTTTCAGCACTAACCAAACATAAAGTAAGTGTAATTACCTCAACTACATCATAAGGCATAGGAATTGATACATTTATTATGTGTATTTACTTGATTAATATTTGATCAAGTTTGATTGCTTGATTATTGTTAGAGTTGATGATTAGCAATTAAATATGTGATGTTAATCAAAGATTAATTGTGATGAATCATGAGTATAATTGATGTTTGAAAGATGGAATTTTCTTAAAACATGATTAAAAAGCTTTAAGGGTACTGAAATTATAAAGATGATTTGTTGTATTTTGTTATGGTTGGTTGATTATATTTGGCCAAACATAAATTTTGGTGGGAATTGATGTCACCTACCTATGTTTATGATAATTGTGTTAGTTTTAGTTCATGAAATTATTTGGATATAATTTTATGTGGTATTGGATGGCTTTATGTTTGGATTATGTTTTCATTTGGTCTTAGTAGATCCGACCAAGTTTGAGTTTTGAATGAGTTGATGTGATTTTAATGTGTATGTGATAATTATGGTAGTTATAGCTTATGTGATTATTTGGAAATGAGTTTTTATGGTAGTTAATTTCTTATATCTTTGAATTATTTATGAGATTATTCTTAGTTAGTTTGGCTCGATGACCATCTTATTTATCTTGATGTTTTTTTCATGTAAAATGTTCATGTAAGTCATTATTAACTCGCTTGTTTGATGATACAAGTTTAATTAGAGTTTGGTTCATGTTGTTGATTATTCGCTAATACCACTTAGAATGATTTATATTGTTTTATGTGTTAATTGGTTGGTTATGTAATTGACATGTTGTTGGTCTTATTGGTATGTTGTTGTTCAATACCACATGATTGAATGATCAAGTGTTCCATTGATAGGTACGATCGGCCTATCAACTTAATTGAAGTTCATAGGTTATGTGAAAAATTATTCAATTGCATTCATGTCATGAAATCGCTTTCATCATGTTTTATGTTTTCAAAGATGAAGTTAAGTGCATGGTTTTCAAGAAAATGGCTAAACATGTCCAAAATCACAAGCTCAATCACGAGCTTCACAAGGTACATGTCTAATGATTTTTATGGTTTTCATAATCATGGTTTTCATAGAGGACTCGAATGTATATACATTCAATAGGGTATGTCCGATCATTGAAAATGTTTTTCAAATTCATAAAAATGTATTTTCGTGCATCATACATATATGATTACACTTAATTAGCGTAAGCTCATTAATTGTCTTGTGATGTAGGTAAATCATTAATTTGTAAGGACTCGGTGCAAAGTTGATAATGAAGCTAGAAGGAAAGGAGCTTGCCAAATATGTAATGTAAATAATAGAAACAAGTTTAGACTTATTCCATCTTTAGTAGTTTAAGAAATTTTTCAAGTTAATGTGTAAATAAATAAATAAATATTTTGAGATGTTTATAAATTAATTTAGTGGTTTTGGCATGTTGGTTAAATAGTTAGATAAAAGGAATTCATTTAATAAAATGGGATTTAAAGTTTAAGCTAAGTAAACGAGTTTAATTGACATAAAAGATTAAATATTAAATGATTTTAATTGGTATGTGATAATTAAATAAATTGGGAATGTGGGAGTGAGAGGAGCCACACAAAAAAAATGCTCTTTAGTTTTTTTTTCAAATTTCTTCTTCATTCGCCTTTGCATCTAGGGTTTGATTTGCTAGTTTCGTGGCTACGCCTCTACCATATCGAAGAAATCCCATCGGATATGGATTTCCCTCCCCTTTCATCCATAACAATTGCTAGAATCAGCCTTATTGATGTAAACTTTTAAAAAATATATATCATGATGAATTCTTTGGACATAGGTGCGAGTGGTAGCTAAAACTTCTAAACTTAGTTCAACACAACAACAATAATCAATCGGTGTTAATGCAATCATAATAGGAACCGAGCAAGCTTCCTTTCCAAATCAAAAATAGAATAGAACTCCCTATAACTAGAAACCGAATTATACAATGGATCGTTACACCAAAACCATCTTTTTCTCAAAATCAAAAACCCGTTTTAACATATCCGCCTCTCATTCCACGCTTACAAGTGCAAATCAATAGGAACTCATTTTTTTTCTATAATTGAGATGAAAAATACCGCTCATCGGTTTTAGTATACAATTATCCTCAAGTTTATTAATGAAAGGCCTCCAATCAACAATATCAAGAGCCATATTTATTGAAACTAGAGTCTATTAGGGAAACATGTGTTTGGTTTACTTAACGCAAGGCATGTCACGGTTTACCTTAATAATGAATATGATACAATAATGGCTCTCTCATGTGAAGATCATAAAATTTTGAATTGTATATACCACCTCTTCGGATGGACTCCCGATTTTGTATTTTTTAAGGATTGCCCATAAGTTGTAGTGTGGGTTAGATTACCTCACCTGCCTCTACTATTTTCACTTTTTGTAATTTGTGATATGTTAGAGAAACCATGAGATGCTTCTTAAGGGCGGACTATAGAACTTTATAGTTGAATCATCCCATGTTTGCTATAATTTGCATTAAGCTAGATGTGTCTAGACCTCTTCCATCTAGAGTGTCCCTTGGAACATAGAAAGATCATGGTTTTTAGCAAAGGATGGAGTATGAAGGTAAAATTTCCTTTTATGAAGGTTATGGTTTACTTGGTCACTTGATTGGTAACTATCGTAAGAGGAATAATCATCAATAACCTAGGCCAATAACGGTACAAAATGTAAAAGGTCTAAACTCTAAAACAGTTGAGCTACAACCACGAATTGTTGAGGTTATACAAAACGATATCGACCATCAATAAAAGGCTGATCATCTAGTGAAAAAAAAAGGTAATGGCCTAGAGTTTTTTATTTAGAGAGCCAAAAGAAAAAAAGAGGTTGGAAAGGATAAAAAGGCACGTATACTAGAGAATATGAATGGTAAATAAATTTAGATGCTAGTTGGTAATGGCCATCGTGGTAGGATAGATAGCAAAGTCATATCTAATACATTTATGGAAATGGAAAAGCACAATGTCACGTAACATAAAGATTTATCCGACTATCCGGAAAATAGGGTTTTTGTTAGTTATGGGCATCGAGTGGCATAGACAAAATCGATGTAGTCTCGAAGCCTATGATTATAAAAACAAAATGATGTATCAAAGACTCAAATGCTACTTAAGGAACATGTAGCAGCCTACAAAAACATATGATATAAATCTCAGTCATATTGTCAACTAGGAGGAGATATTAATATAGAAACAATCTTCCGAACAATTTACCAATAATGATTTACATAAGGAACTATTGGATCACGAAGGAGATTTACTTATTTAAAATAAATATAGTCTCTTGTAAGAGATGGATGAACCTAGTGTTACACTATCAAACAACTTGATTTTATGGTGAGGTTTAACATGAGATAATAGTGGGGTGAAGGGAAGAAATCCAAATTTTCTTATTCTAACAAAAATACCTTCTCTAAATGATGTTGATTTGTTTAAAGAGGATCTAAAGGAGATTCACAAAATTCAAAAGACATTCACCAAATTAGCATAGAAAGTGAAGAGTCGAAACCAATTTCTAATATGGAGGAGTCTCTGGAATCAATGGAGATCATAAAAAATAGACATATTTGTTTAGAAGTCGTTATGCAATATAGTGGCGAGTGGATGAGAATATTAAGGTGTGTTGAATTCTCATGGTTTTGAAATGTCACTACTTCACTTCTCCGAGTTAAGAATTCATAAACAACCTTTTCTTGCATGGAGAGATAGCTACATACCAATGGCAATATTTTGACGAGTATTATGGATGTCTAAAAAGAGGTTAGGAACATTGAACATCTAGCTTTGGTCCGGTTTTGCAAAAGTAAAGTTTCTTCACAAAAATCTTTTACAAAGATGATTTTATATAATAGTATATTATGGAAGTTGTGGTTAGCCGATCTTTGATAATGAAAAGATGTGATAGTTG